AGGAGGAGTGATATAGCTCGGTCATTGTATGTTTCACCTTGGGTGAGGGGATAGGGGGGCTATTCAAAGAAAAAGTGATATAGCTCGATTCTTGCGTATTTCAGCTTGGGTGAGTCATGTAAATAAAAGAGACATCGTGTATTTGATCATATTATATACATATATATATACATACATACATACATATTATGCTATTAAATTTTAACTTCGGATATTGGATTTCTAGTGTTCTGATTGGTTCACTCAACTCATGTTATTAGCTCATATTTCGAGTCGCCTTATATGGAAATGTATTGCGACAAGTTAATAAACGTCCAGGATTAAATGAAATTTCATAAAATAATTGTTCCACTGCGCTCGTTGGATACCACAACGATTACAGCTAACTCGGCGCTAAGCACCACATTGGCTATGTACCATCTGTTATTTCATAGGTACTGAGATTTACCCACAAAAATTGTAGTGAATAAAATTCGTACTGATTCTAAATGTAGCCAATCAGGAGTACGAACGACAAAATTTCACCGTGAAAAATTATCGTTCGTCCAATCAGCAACGCGAACGACGAAATTTCACTAATGATGAATGAACGTACTGAAGAGAACGTCATGCGAGAGCCGTTGCACAAAACCCGCGCGCTTTGAAGAATGGCTGAGGGAAGGTTCGCTTCTGTTTACTCAGTTGAAGAATTCATTTTAGAACACGAAAACAAAAATACCGCTCAAAAAACTGAAAGAGATGTAAGATTGCTTGAAAGATTTTTGAAAACGAAGGACGAAGACAGGAAAATTGAAGATATTCCAGCGGCTGAGTTGAATGAATTTATTAGCGAATTTATTATCTCCGTACGCACTAAAGATGGCAACGAGTACGAGCCGACTTCGCTTCGAAGTTTAATGGCCAGCTTCGAACGACATTTGAAGAAAAAGGGCTATTCTGCCAGCATAATTGAACATTGATTGATATCTGATCAACACAGGTAAGCTTAAGTGTTATGAACTTTATGCACTTTTATTAACTTGTTGTTGAGAAATTTTTAAACTACTTTTTACGCTTTTCATCGCCCCATTTGTGCTATTTGTCTACCAAAGACAACACGAAAAAAACTCAGTACCTATGAAATAAACACATTGCAGCATGGAAAATGCTTTGTACGATTTTCAATCACTCGTTGATACGTATCAGAAAACTCACTCGTTCGCTGCGCTCACTCGTTCGTTTTCTGATACTACACAACTCGTGAATAAAAATCGTACGCGCGCATTTTCCATGAAGTAATCTCTATATATCAACTCATGGAATGATAACTATACAGTTCACAGTGAAAAAATTTTGTTGCACGTGGACCGTTTCCAAATGAATGACGTTAGGACTAAAGTAGATGAAAAGGCATGTTAACTTAATATAAAGATAGCAGGGAACGTTTAGGCAAAATGCATAAACCCAGAGCCAAGCGCAAAGAAAACGGATCTATCAGTCGAACCTGGTTGAACTTTTAGCAGTGAGTGGCAAACAATCTTCATAAAATTGAAAACTAAGAATCAGAAAAAAGGAAAAAAAAACACTTTCGAGACTCCGCTAAAAACGGTACCACAAGTTAAGTTAAGTATGATGATGTTTACATTGTTGCTATTTACTTGATATCGTAATTTTTAATTATTACTATGTAAGATAGTACTCGCAACTGCAATGCTGGAGATTACCCGTCATTTTATACATTACTGAATGAAATAACATGTAAAAAACATATATTGGTGTCTGTGTCGTCTGTGTCTGTTTCTGCTTAGGGATTATCACTAAAATGCAACCAAAAAGGGGGACGGGTTTGAACGATGAAGGGAAAGGGAAAGATCATTGTGGTATTAACCCTTTTACTACTAAGAACTCATTACTGATTAAATTTACTGACTTATATATAGTTCTTAAGATGTAAGTTCCGAGAATTTGGTGTTGGACAATCCCGTATACATAATTGATGTTTTCTCTGTTCCCATCACTCACTTGCGTGATAAAGCATCGATATTGTAAAGAGATGTTCTGTCTTGGTCACTCATGCGATTTAAAGGGTTATGAGGCTAAGATGAAATTGGTTTCAATTCAGACCTTCCAGAACACCTAGAAAGAAAAACCAAATCCTTAAAATTGCATATCTCTGTAGGTTCCTCGATTGTATTCTTGGTAAATATCAACCACGTCAATTAACACGCCTACATCTCTACAAAATTAAAAAAAAAATTCCGCCATTCCAACGTCTTACCTCTGCAGCTAGTCGAATTACTCTAAGAGTCTTTTTTTATTGAAGATTTTCTTGATTTCATATTACTCTCGCCCTTAGACGCAGAACCCTTCCGCGTCTAAGGCTGAGAGCTAAATCAAATTAAGATTAGAAGGATTGTCAAGAAAACCTCATCCATGCATTGGCACTAAGGTTCTTTTAAGTCTCAAATTTCATAAACCACCCACACAATTCTAACAAAAGAGACTTCAGGACTGCAAGTTAGACAAGTTAGGTCCATTCAATTCTTCCTCGAATTATTCACTCCGAATGACACTTTGTTCAAAATTGCTCTACTGCTGTTCAGCAGCAAATAACACTTCATGAGAACCTAGGCGATACTGGAAACTTCGAGGAACCCCTTCGAAAGAAACAAGCAATCCAGAATAATTGAAAGTAAGACTCTATTAGAATGAGAATTTTGGATCATTCTGGGAATTTTTTCTCGATTTATTCATTAAAAAAAGTATTTTGTACAAAATCTCTTTGTTATACTTTGTTTGTAAGTCACACATAATGAGAACTTGCACTGTGTCAAGAATAATTTGAAAATTTTCGGAAGAAAGAGTAACCCCTACAAAAAGAAAAAGTTAACGCGAGCTTCTATTTATTCGTGTCTGTCATCTTACAACGAAGGGGGCAGGGGATTTCTATTCATTGTTTATTCTGCAAAACTTATGTTGCTAAACGGCTGATTTCAATTCTCATCTTACACTTGTAGTTCGGATAATATTTTCATAAAAGCACATGTTTTTCCCTGTAAGTATGAGAAAATTAATTTTGACGATGAAGCCTTCGTGAGAACAGCGAAAATAGGTTAGAAACGACATTATTTGCAAAACACTATTGCGTGTTAATCTAACGGTGTTTAAAACAAAAAGGTACAAATTCAATAATGAAATGATTAAAAATATTTCAAAACCTTTCAATTAGTTTTGGATGGCAAAATAATCTCACATGTTTGTAGCGTCATTACCAACCAAAAAATGTACTGTTGGTGACTAATTAGTGTCAAGCTTACACTTTTATGTACGTACAGCTTGTAGTTATAAAAATTTGAATTTGAACTCATATTTTTTGCTGCCAAGTTCCGTACATCTAAGTCTTTATGTTGTTCGCACATGATTAAGTCTTGTTTACATTGGGAAAAAATTAATGTTTGTTCGAAGATTCTCACGAGAACAGAGGAAGTTATCAGAAAAAAAGAAACGAAATCGGGTATAGAAAATTAAATGAAAGATTCTGAAATAGCGTTTCTCAGGCTAAACTGATTTTTCCGTAGCCAAAGACGTTCTTTCTGTAGAGCTTTTACCATTAATAATCTTTATTTAGCAAACGGTCTATTTAGTTTCCTTAGGTAAACACTGAATTATGAAAAAATTTGAGGAATATCTAATTAAAATACGTCTAAAAGCTAATTTAGACCAATTTGTTGTTATGCACGCGATTTTAATGATTTGGAACTTTAAAGGAAAACGAATCGCGAGGTTTTTTTTTCTCTTTCTTTTAAAGAAAAAAAAAGCTTGTCATCGCTGCCATTGTCCAGCGATATTGCTCGAAAGTCGGATACTCATTTTGTTGAATTTTTTTCTCACCATTATCCCTTCCGTTTAACTCCCTGAGCGAGGAACCTAAAGTGGAGAAAAATAAAATGTTTTTAGTATTTACTTTTATTTTGGCTTGGAGCCAACTTTAAGTATCGTAACCATAGCTACCATACTGTGATGAAAGAGAGCATTTTTAATTCCGTAGCAGTTAGGCGCTTACAAGCATCCTGAGAAGGTAAGAAACAACACTTCCAGGAAAATTTCTATTCAATAAGAATCTTTCTTTACCCGTATCTCCTATATTTCTGTAGTTTAGAATTACATAGGATAAGTTTTGCTCAACTCTTGAGTTAGAGTTTGGTAAATTGTTGTCGGCAAACTAAATAACGCTGCTTTGAAATACACCATATCATTAGTTTTAATAAATAGTTTCCTTACTACTTCGGGTCTACTATCTAAACCTCTACATATTTGTTTCTGGTACGCCGCACATTTCTCTGTTTACCTCATAAACTGTTAATACATACAGCCGCCTTGGCTAATGTTTCAAGTTGGCCAAAAACTTTGAATTTTTTGCAGTCGGAAGACGATTTCCTTTAAATATAAATTCATTTTCCAACAAGTAGAAGAGGATAGTTTGTTTGAGGTCGGGCCTTACTGTTTGAATTTATCTTACCCTTTAAGTATCTAAATTCGTAGTTAGCCAGTTTGATAAAGCCATCTTCTCTGCTGCCTATCTATTTTTTCCTCTATGTCAGTAACACCAGGTCAGCATATTAAAATCATAATTCCACAAAATTTAAAAATGCGTTTATCTTCAAAACTCAGATAATCTACCGCAGCTAAAAGTGTGCTTAAAAATTCTTCCTTGCCATTTTAATTGAAATCCTATCAAGCATCACGTAAATTGTATACTCACAATATCAATATGGAGTGTTTTTGCTAACTTTCGGATGACATATTAATGTGCATGTGATATGATTATTATATTTTCATCTGGTATTTAGCCAACTTGGTTGAGAGCAATTACTTTTTTCCCCTTCAAAATAGACTGTCATTACGCAGGAACATAACATATACCTTTTGGGTTCTATCCTTTACATTTGCAGATTCAGTATAAGCAAAGAAGTATGAATTGGATGTTACGCAATTTAAGATTCTTCCTCTTCGCTTCTGCCATGGCGTTTGTCACAGCTAATGATCAATACAGGACAGAGGAAAAGATACAATGCAAGACAGAAGTAAACATACACGGAATGGCTCTCAAGCGCTCTGTCTTCAAACGATGGTCAGTGGCAGCTCCTCACCTCTGCGATGTCAAATGCGGACAAGAGATCACCTGCCAAAGCTATAACTACAATAAAAAATACCAAATATGTGAACTAAATAACCGCACCAAGGAGGCGAGACCAGAGAATTTCCTTTCAGCGCGCACGTGGTTTTACATTCGACGCTTGAACGGCAGAGGTAAGAAATTGCAAGTCTATGTACCAAAGTGATTTTTTGTTTCTTTAGATTTTCTCCATCCTGAGCTAACCGCGTTCCTTCCCATTTACAAGAAATGATGATGAGAAAAGAAAAACTGAGAACGTATTTTACTGCAGCTCCCTTGGGTTCTATACCTGAATTACCGGCGCTGTCCTGTCACGAAATAAAGGCAAGTGAAGGAAACGAAAGTATAAGCGGCAACTTTTGGCTGGATCCGACTGGTACTGGGAAGGCAGTTTTGATTGACTGTGATATGATTACCGGGGGTAGGTCTTATCAGTTCTCTTCGAGTTAAGTTACGAAGTTATGTTTGCGAATGCTTTGGATATACTCAACAAACGCTTGCCAGTTGTCGCACTTATTTACTTTATTTACTTGCGTTTCATATAAAGGAAAAGGTCAACTGAAAATAAATCACAAAACGCTAACTGATTCGATTTGCTCAGAAACGTAACAAGATATTGAAAAGCGAAACGATATAAAATGATTTTACATACCGACATTTGCGACTCTAGTTCTCAGGAGAATATCCAAACACGTGCGTTCACTTCCTCAACTAATCGTTTACTTATCAAGTTTCCCATACTGTACTACGATAAAGATTATGACGTCAACGTAACAATATTAGTTTTTTTTTATATTATTAGCATTATCGTTTGTTTAGTCAGTATATTTATATTTTCTCTTCTTTTGCAATTTCTAGATATGGATGAATGTAAATCTGACATCAGTGACTGCGATGTGAATGAAAACTGCACTAACACGGAAGGTTCTTACAAATGCAAATGTAAAGCTGGATACACTGGTGATGGACACTCTTGTTCAGGTACTTATACCTTCATCTTCAAAGGTGACCTGATTTATTTTGCTTCCAGTAGCTGCTTTAGCTATTTTTTCTGTTAATCGTCTCAAAATAATGATTACAGAAATGAAGTAGTAATGATATTACTGATGTATTGACGAATGCAGCTATTCATTTAGAATAGATTCATTTAGAATATTCATTTTACTTCAAGCATTTACATCGGAGGAAGTAAATCTGCCCAACAGACTCTTGTAAAAATATGCTGTGCCAGTATTTCTCAGTGCAACGATAATCTGCAGGTTTATGACATGTATATGACGTAAACTAAGCATTTTTTCTTTGAAATCATTTCTATCACATTATCATCTTACAACATCACCGTTATCATCTTCATCGCCACATTTAACATTACTATGATTATCATCAATCATCACCATCATCATGGTCATCAGCTTTAACGTTGTAACTCTTCATTGCAATGCTTACTCTTTCAAGATATCGATGAATGTAACGATGGAAGCCATTCGTGTGATGTGAATGCAAACTGTGAAAACACGAATGGCTCTCACAACTGCATCTGTAAGGAAGGTTACATTGGGAATGGAATATCGTGCCAAGGTATACAGGAATAGTTTTAGCGACAACGCAGGAATAGTCAGCTATGGTCTTTGTACCTGAATAACCACATCGCTTATTTAATCGTGAATTGTGTGGCAACTCTCCTCTGTAATAATTGTTATGAAAAACACCTACAACAGTTATTTATTCGCACTAATTCTCATAATTGTACCGTTAAGGAAGGATAAACGAGAAACAGACAATCATGTTAAGGTACAAAAGATTAGCCTTTCAAACAGCCAATTTTTGGATGTAAATTCTGCGTTTGTTAGCCACATTCTATTATCCCTACAAGCGTCAGACAATACAATTCTTAACATTTTTGCATGTCATGCGCCGTTTGAATGCATGGAGGCAAAACGATAAAATATAAACTTTATTTATGGTTTTCCAGATATGAACGAATGTAAAAGAAACCAACCTTGCCACGTGAATGCGATCTGCACAAACACCGAAGGATCGTATGTTTGTACTTGTCACCCTGGATATACTGGAAATGGACTCAGTTGTGCAGGTAAGTGATGTTTTCCTTTGGTTCCTTTGAACGTAAACGAGACCGTCGTCTTTTCTTGGCATGTCCTACATCGGCAACAAAAAATAACCCTTAATATGATCGCGATAATGACACATTTTTTTATTCGACATTTCAAATAATAATCTCTCTCTTAGACATTGACGAATGCAGTGAAGCTCATGCCGCTAAACTAAACAAATGTCATCCGAATGCCTCTTGTATTAATACTAGGGGCTCATACGACTGTCATTGCAATCCTACTTACACTGGAAATGGTTTCAAATGTACAGGTACGTTCGGTTTCTTTGAGGCAATGTAAGTTTTATTTCGTAGCTCAGCTTTAATTTAAAAATAAATTGCTTACAGCTGTCTTTCTTTCGAAACATGAAAAGCGGGCGAAATTCTCCTTCATAGTAGCGCAAACGCAGAAAATGAATGATCTCTTAATTATGTTTCAAATAGTTTTTAAAAAACTCTTACAAGAAGTGTCCCATAATGCAAACATGATTCTCTCCCTACAATCCTTAAAGCTTTAGAAAATCCCTTATTTGAGAGAAGTTATAACAATAGCAATTATATAGTTATTTGACGTGCAGTCATTACAGAAACTTAATTTGTTGATCGTAGCAGACAGAGGCATCACACACGCAAGGGAACAGTTATTAAAAACAAATGCTTTTTAGGGTGGTATGGGTGTCCGGGAGCTGGGGTTATAAAATTTCTCAAACGCGCATGGTAACATCAAGTTCAGCCGGTCCAAAAAGTCTCACACGTAGATAGGCTATTGAGGCAAAAAGAAACATAATTCTTTATGATACTATCATTTTATGTTAATTCCTTTGTTCATCATGATTGTTCTGCACGACTACTTCTTATTCCCATTCCACTTATTGCATAGTTTTTTTTCTTTTTTTTTCGCAAAATGCAAATGCCGTCTGCTGTTTGTTGAGCTGATTCTCTAAAAGATGTCAAGGAAAAAATATTTACCTTTGATTGTTCAACATTTTTCGAAATTTATATTGAACTTTTCCAGCCGACCCATGTTATCATTATCAAAGTTTGAGTGATGCCACTAGAAAGAGCAGTTACATAACACCCCAGTACCAAGAGGTTTGTGACGACCAACTCCCTGAGGAAAGCTATCGTTTTGTGGGAGCTGCGGGAACAAAAATGCCAACAGCACGTGTACTCGCATTTAGATGCGGTACATCCTGGTCAGGCTGGTTGGATGGTGCTCATCCTACAGTGGAAGATGGTAGTGTCTCCAGGACGGTCTGCTTTAGTGATCGTTATTCTGGTTGTAAAGCCATAAAGAATATTTCTGTGATAAACTGTGGATCTTACTTTATCTACAAACTTTTTAGGCCACCAGATTGTTATATGCGTTACTGTGCTACAGACTGAATGTGAAGCAAATATAGTTCGCGTAATAAGAAGGTTCATAAATAGATCTTTATGACTTTGCATAAGGTATGTAACATGTGACTTAGTTAAATTGGGGCCTTTCCCCGTTAGCGACAAATCTTACAAGTACGTGTGGTTTGTCGCGACTCGATAAATTTTGGCCGAAGCGGACAAATCTTCAAAAGCACCACAGACAAAATTTTTCACGGGTGAAACAAAATCGACTAAATAAACAAAAACGTGATAAACTTGTCAATCATTCGTCGTATAAGCTACAAGAACCGTGCAATTGAACTGAAATCAGTTTTCTAGAAAGGGAAAATTGTCTTTTGCTGCAAAACTCAGTAATTCTAAACTTTTAATATGACTGAGGATAAATCCCTGAAATTGGAGGTGGAATCCTTTGGCAACTATGCTTGCCGGTCTCGTGAACAGATCAGGCGCTGACGGAATTTTACGGCTTTTAAGGCTGACGGAAAAAAAATTGTCAAGACAAAATTTGTCCCTTGATTTTGTCGGGACAACTCTAGTTTTGTCCGCTAGTAGGGAAAAGCTCAAAGTAAAACGAATAAATGGGTATGACGGTCAAAATCTGATAGCCCTGGCAAATGATTCCTAAGTTTGACGTTGTAATTGTGCCTTAGTATTTAGAAGAGTCTTAAATAACCTCCAGACTCACAGTAAAAATAATTTAACGGCTTAAACCTGTCGAAACCGTGTGTCAAAATGCATCCTTTAAATTCTAGGCGGATTCCAAACCGGAATTGATGATCACCATGAAAATGGCGTGATGCAGTTTCCGTCCAGATGATTTATATTTGATATTAAAATTGGAGTTTGTTTATCTCAGTATCACGCGGTGAAAGTCTCAACTTTTTTGTCCTGATAAAGTACTATGAATGAGCCGTATATATAAAGATATACAACAAATCCAATATCAAGAGCGAATAAGGACAAGGAAAGAAAACCACGCCTGAAAAACCACTGCCACTGCCTGATATTTCACTATTCTATGACTGGCTAGTCTTCGATCCATTTGATGTTCATTTGTCTCGCGCTTTTAAGGAGAGACCTGAAAACACAGCAAATAGGTAAAAAAACTGGTGAGTTTTTTAACAACATCAAAATATCGTTACAAACAAGAGTGATATGAGCTGGATCACTTTGTGGCTCAGCTTCTTGAGTGGTGTAAATAGACGGGCATCGTCTCATCATTTAACAAAAATGGTGTAAATTCCTAATAAACACATTTATTTAGCCTTGCATGTAAATGGACCAGTCTCAGTTAAGTGTCTTAACGGGAACACGAAAGTAAATGTTACAGCCAGTCGACTAAACATAACAAAGTAAAAATAACAATAACAAAAAAAATAACGAATAAAAAGATTTTAAAGCGAAGAACACGTAAAGGAAACTACAGGATGGATCGTCATTTTCGACACTCAACTGAAAACTGAACTACAAGTAAATTTAATCTTCATTTCCGATGTCACAATTTAAACAATGCTGTAAACCTTTTCTGATTCATTAGCAAGAAAGAATTCACAAGTAATATCATAGTTCGTTGTCAATTAAATACACAGAAGGGCATTTGCTTTGATCTCTACCTTTGTTAGTGCTACGGGGTTTGTAATAACATGCTAAGAAACAAGGGGGGAGGATTGGGGATGGGGAGTGGGGAGGAAAAGATGGGACAGATCACTGTTATCTTTGGAAGCTAGGAATAGTGAGGACACGATTTTTAACATTGAATATAATAACAGAAGACTGTCAGTGGAGGTTACATTCGGCAGGTAACGTCGCAAATTTAGCATTTCTCCTCGATAAATTAAACAATCGGAGCAGTGGCCTTAAAAGGTCTGGTAATAAATCAATCTCTCAGCATAAGCTGTAAATCTGCCCATTACCTAATTGTATTATTCATCATCTCAATGTTATCTGTTTGGCAAAAGGGAGTGGATAACGTTCTCGCAGAAAACGAATTGTGTGTGTACTTGCCGATATTACTCTGAAAAAAAAAACAACAAACATTGGGAAAATCTCAAAAGTACCGCCCAGAGATTTGAATCAAACTGGGGATTCTTCCTCTGTATATTTATTCAATTCAAATAATACTTTTTTCACAATTGTTGTGCCAAATTTCAGTCGTAAGTCAGACTTTGTGAAGGTTTAACTATGTTGCGAGCAATTTGAAAATTCTAAGCTTCTTGCGCGGATGAAAGAGTGACTTAATATTATCCTCTCTGCTCACCTCCCACAACAAGGAGCCCAAACAAGAACAAGGAAGTTCTCTTTACGTGTTAACTATTATTATGGCTTGAAGCCAATTTCTATTCCTTAAATTAAGAATCCACAGTTTGCCTGCATCTCCTCAACGTATTTGTGCTTCCTAAAGCTACATGGGGTTTTCTTAACTCTGGAATCAGGATTCAGGGATTTTTTGACGGTAATGCTGCTTTCAAATAGACCACATAACCAGTTTTAATATCTACTTTTCTTACTGCTCTGTTTACTCTATGTAAACCTCTGCATGATTATTTCTTTTATGAGATACTTAATATTATGGCATTAGTAAGATATATATTTCTCCCTTCAACTCAAAATCAAACAAACTAAACAAGAGTAAAGGACTGTTAAGTAAAATTTATTTGTGCATAAGCAGTAAAGGCTTCTCCCACGGGTGAAAGAGTGAACCAGAAAAATATTCAGTAGAAACGGGCCTCTATTATTATCACATTTTGTGTTCCAATAAAAGTTATTAATACCTTCTGATGCCTGTCATGTCTGTTAACTTAGAACGAGGTGGGCGAGGATTTCTATTCATTATTTATTGTGTCAAGATTACGCGAAAACACCAACTGGCGTAATGCCAGTAAAATCATTAATAATATCTCCTAGTGTTCCTCGAGGACTGAGGGAGTTTTCTGACTAAAATAACACAACGTTCCTCAAGGCTAAAAAAATTTTTTCGCTTTTTTTTTTTTTTGATAATACATTTTCGGTACGCGGTTGAGTTTACTTGGTATAACACCAGATTGTGGAAAGAGTTAAGGAACATCTTATTAACAAATGGCTAAATGCTAATTTAGAACGTTTAGTCAAAATTATTTGAATGATTTGAAATCGTGATAACAAATGAGTGGTGTTTATTTAATTTTTATAAATATATGTCTATCTACAGAAATACTTTATTATCGTTGCCATTTTCTAGCGATTTTGCAAAGGGAAAGATTACGGTATTTTAAAGGGAAAGGTACGTATTTTGTTGAAATGTTTCTTAGTATTATCCTCTCAGTTTACCCCCCACAACAAGGAGCCCAAACAGGAACAAGGAAGTTCTTTTTAGAGTTAACTATCATTTTGGCTTGAGTGCAATCGTTAATACCTTACCCTTAGCAACAATACTGAGATAAAAGGATAAAACAGAGCATCATTACCTCGGTAGCAGTTAGGTGATTAAGAACTTTGCATCTTGAGAGGTAAGAGACGAACGTAGTTGTTACACTGCCGCAAGGACAATTTCTATTTCTAAAGAATTTACATTTTCCTGCATCTCCTCAAAGTATTTCTGCTTCCTATAACTACATAGGTTTGTAAGTAACACTAGATGAACATATTAAAATCATAATTGCACAAAAGGTGAAAACACCTTTTAAAACTAAGGTGATTTAATGCAAAATGCGCAAGGTGCGCTTAATATTCTCCTTTAAAGCATTATGTAAACTGTGTACTGACACGATTAATGATGGTTAATTTGAAATATCAAATATGTGAATTGAATAACCGCACTAAGGAGGCGAGGCCAGAGAATTTCCTTTCCGCGCCCGGGTGGTTTTACATCAGACGATTGAACGGCAGAGGTAAGAAATCAGAAGTCTATGTGTCTCGCTGATTTTCGTTCCTTTAGGTTTTCTCCATACTTAGCAAACCTTGTTCCCTCTCACCTATAATTTAGAAATAATAATAGGAAGAAAAAAAAAACTCATATTTTATTTTTTCTTTTATTTCTTGGACCACCTTCCTGTAAAATCAAAAATACATACAGAATATGAAAATTAACAGTAAAGCTAAAAGGAAATAAACAGCCTACGTAGATATTTTTTATGATCGTCATTTTACCGCAAAACCACGGCGGCCTGTTTCAGGCCCACTCCTCAATAACCTCTCGCGCACTTTAGAATTATAGCCTCTTGAACGTTAAAGCAAGTTGTAAATAAGTTGTGGCACCGATCAAGTAAATCTCTGGCAACTTTTAACGGGAATGCCAGATTTATTTCGACTTAATAATCGAAATAAAATTTCGTTTGTCATATATTCACAATGTAGAATTTTTCAATTTTTTTTTCTTTTAGTAGAGCGATGAAGATGAGCTGTGTGATGCAACATTAATTATCAAGAACAAATATGGCCTAGGAAAGAGAATCCCTCATGGCCACTTCCTGACACTTAAACATCCTAAGACTTGTTTAAAAGTCGAGTTTTAGATGGAAGAGACTAATATGGATAATAAACAATAAAGATAAAATTGTCACAAACGTAACAACAAATACAAAGAACCAGGACATCGCAACTTTTAGTCATAAGCTTAGATCCACGTCACGTGTCTTACAGTAATAGTAGTTACATGAGTCCTTTCTTATTTTGTTTTGGTCACTATTGTTTTTGTTTTTGCTTTTTTATGTTATGTTTTGTTTTGCTGTTTCGTTTTTGTTTGGGTTGCGGTTGTTGCTGTTGTCGTTGTTCTGTTTGTGGAGTGGATCTTCGCTGGAACACTTTGAGTTAAAGTCTTTGAAGAGTCGCTATGTAAAGAACGTTGGCAAAACATTTTGATTTTATATCGTTTCAACATCAGTAGGCAATTCCAGTACCACTCCTAGCATTTTATTCTTGATATAATTGCCTTGTAATGATATCAAGAATAAAATGCCAGTTGTTGTTGTTGTTGGGTTTTTTTGTTTTGTTTTGTTTTTTTGTTTTTTGTTTTTGTTTTGTTTAGTTAG